ATAGTTTAGATTGTAACAACTGGAGAGGCATAACTCTGCTTTCTATACCAGGAAAGATTTTCAGCAGAATCATAGTAGAAAGAATGAAAACATCATTAGAAAGAGTAGTAAGAGAAGAACAAGCCGGCTTCAGGAAAGGACGAGGATGCATGGATCATATATTCACTCTCAGAATCATAATTGAACAGAGCATAGAGTGGAACAGCAGCCTTCACCTGAATTTCATAGATTTTGAAAAAGCCTTTAACAGTGTCCACAGGGAGACACTCTGGAAAATAATTTCACTTTACGGAATTCCAAAAAAACTAATAACCATATTCAAAAAGATGTACAGTTGGTATACCTGCTGTGTTTTACATGAGGGCAAGACAACTGACAAATTTGAAGTAACAACTGGTGTCAGACAAGGATGCATACTATCTCCTTTCCTCTTTCTGCTTGCAATTGATTGGACAATGAAGATGGTTACTCTAAGAGAAAAGGAAGGCATACCATGGACACTCACTAGACACTAGAGGACCTAGACTTTGCTGACGACATATGTCTGATTAGTGCAAATCAAGCACAAATGCAAAGAAAGACAGATAGAGTAGTAAAGCAAGCCAGAAGTATTGGCCTTAAAGAAAAAGACAAAGATAATGAAAAACACCTGAAAATGGAAAAGAAATAGTCATCGAAGAAAACAAAATCCAACAAACTGACAACTTCATCTATTTGGGAAGCAATCTCAACAGTAACGGAGATATCGAAACAGAAATACAAAGAAGAATTGGACTTGCAACAAATACCTTCAAAATGCTAAACAAAATTTGGAAAGCAAAACATATCATGTTAAAGACGAAGCTAAAAAATTATTCAAGTAATGTCAGGTCAGTCCTTTTATATGCAGCAGGCAGTTGGAGAACAAATCGAAAAGTTGAATCAAGATTAAGAGGTTTTGAAGGGAGGTTCCTGAGAAGGATCCTAAACATAGGGTGGCAAGATCGGGTAACAAACATGGAAATTAGGAGAAAAACCCAAATAAATGATATAAACGAGGAGATTCGGAAGAGGAGGTGGAACTGGTTGGGTCATGTGCTTAGACTGAAAAATTATCGTCATCCAAGACAGGCAGAAAGATGGAAACCAATGGGGAAAAGAAAAAGAGGAAGGCCGAAGGGGACATGGAGACGAACGGTGGAAGAAGAAAGAAAACAGATGTCAAAAACAATCAATGAAATATCATGGATGGCCCAGGATAGAGGACAATGGAAATCATTTGTTACTGCCTTATGTGCTTATGAGCATGAAGAAGATTAAGTAAGTAAGATATACCATAGGGAAAAAAACATAGAAAAAAAGCTTAAAAACATTGTCTTTCAGTATGTACTTTACATAGGGCTACTTCAAAAACGTGATTTCACAACCACCTCAGCAACACCATGGCTGGGGCTGAGGTGAGAAAATTTGAGGAAATAGTACCTCTCGAAATGGCCGGAAATGACACTTTTATATAGTAAAATTCATCATCATCACATTACCATTATAGTCAAAATGAAACGCCAAAATGAAACGCCAACAAATTTCTCATGATCTTTTATCAGGGATCTACTTAATATCCAGGACAACTTAGGCCTAATTATAGCTTACTAAGCTTTAACTATATATACTATATTATGATCAACAAATCACAATTTCGCATTTAGCACAATTTTCTTCACTTTTTATTGTTATTAATATAAATATCAATTATTACTATCGTCATCATCATCATTGTTATTATTATTATTACTATTAGTATTATTAAACAAACATTTAAAGAAACTTGCAAAAGGATAAAAACGAAATTGAACACAGTATCGCATGTACTTTACATAGGCCTACTTCAAAAACGTGATTTCACAACCACCTCAGCCCCACCATGGATAGGGGTGAGGTTTGAAAATTTGAGGAAATAGTACCTCTCGAGATGGCCGGAAATGACACTTTTATATAGTAAAATTCATCATCACATNNNNCGTTTCATTTTGACTATAATGGTAATGTGATGAATTTTACTATAAGTGTCATTTCTGGCCATCTAGAGGTACTATTTCCTCAAATTTTCTCACCTCATTGTGGGGCTGGGGTGGGTGTCGACTTACAAAATATCCTCCCCTCCACCTTTCAAAACAGATCTGTGCCCTTCCCTGGGTATGACATTAAACTCCATCGAGTCGGCTCCTGATGTATGTGTTAGTGACTGCTGTTTGTTTTTATGATGTGATCTGGTTTTTCATGTCCATTTTTCGTGATTATGACTATTCTGGATAAAGAATGTTTTGAGCAGAGGTGGATTCAAGGCGGCACCTCCACCCCCCTTTATTTTTTAAGGAAAAAAATATTCAAATTGAAGTGCGAGAGTGTAATTTCCGGCCATCTAGAGATGCCCTAATCATAAATTTTCTTACCTCAGCCCCAACCATGGTGGGGCTGAGGTTGGTGGTTCCTCGGTCTGTGATAGTCCCTTCCTGGTTCACCTCTCTTTCGAATTCTTGGATCTGCCACTGTTGATTTATTATATAATTATTTTTCGCTTATTTATAATGCGTCTATTGCAATTTTCACTTTACCCTCTCAAACAGTCCTAAGAACGTTCAGAGTGCGCTACTTCACAGGGGGATTCGCCCCCTTGACCCCGCCGGGGTCATACGTAATTCGCATAACGGCTCCCCCCCTTTCAAAATCCTGGCTACGTCCCTGATATACTCTACGGTGTTCGGTGAATTCTTCGAGACTGTGTATGGTAATAAAGGGTGAAATAATGAAACGGTGTGAGGTAGACACTCTCCAATAAGCTGTAAAATCAATATTCATAAATACGCAGTATATAATTGGTAAGATGATAACTTACTTTTCTATATCTAGAAAAGTAAGATTTTTAATGAGGGGTTGTACTATTATGTCATGAGATATTTTGATTGTAAAGAAGTTAAATAAGGTTATATCATTATCTCTAAGTGGGGTTCATTTTTACTAAAGAATTTGGAAGTAATCTTTCCTTGATTTTACTGTGCACACCATTTGGCATAATTTTATTTGAATTAATGAAAATTACAGGTTGGATTAATTCCTTAGATTGTTCTTTCTGAGGGTTGTAATAACATTTTAGATAGTCATTATGTCATATGTTGGCCTTGATTACGTACCCTTCTAAGTCTACCTTTTTATGGTGACTTTTGGCATGGGTGAATTATAATCACTGATGATTTTAGGAATGTTAGTCATTCTGTATTGATTATTGTATTTTAGTCCTTTGTATTTTTTTTTTGCTATGAACAAAAATGTTTTAGGTAGCTTTATGCAGAAATTAAATTTTCAAGATATAATACTTTTCTAGAGCTAGAAACGTAAGATATCTTACTTTTCAAAATCTAGGAAATTAAGATAAATCTTGTGTCTTACTTTTCTAGATCTTACTTTTCTAGACACCCCTGTTTGTAATGAACATTAGGGTGGAGTCTATAAGCTGTAACAGCGGCTTACTGTAACTGTTGGATGGCCATGGGTGTATGACCTCGATGTTCTAAAATAATCTGAGGATTGGGAATAGGAAAGCCTGTATTTTTCCTATTACCTCTAAATTATATATATTTGATGAAATTAAACCTAATTTTTAACGATGTGGTTACTAGTGTTGTATCCAGGATTTAAGGAAAGGGGTGCTGAATGAAATGAAAGTCCACACCATGTCAGCGCAACCTTGGTTGGCGGTGACATGGGAATATTTTAAGTATTTTGGACCTCTGGATGCCCGCAAATGCGACTTAAATTACCTTTCATTTTTACAATTTTTTTAAACAAAATGAGTAAAAAAAAAACCCATTATAAGGTACCAAAAAATTCATTTCAATACTTACAATTTCAAAAACATACCATATCCACCTGAGCCCCAACATGGTTGGGGCTCAGGTGAGGATATTTTAAGAATTTAAGACTTACAGATACAGCACTTAAATAGTACAAAATCTACGAGTGAATTTAAATTTATGAGTGAATTTAAGAATTTGAGATTTTAAAGACGCCAAAGTACGGCATTTTGATACTTAGAAAATTATGATAATTACCATCAACCTCAGCCCACCATGGTTGAGACTGCAGGTAAGACAACTGTAAGAATTTGAGACTTTAATTACAAAGAATCTACAAAAAATACTATATCCACTGTGCCGGCGTCCAACCGGAGGTACTACTACAAAATACACTTCTTCCAATTGCTTTAGGATATCGGCATACTTTATTCGTACTAACCGGTGAAAACTATAATAAAATGGAATAAGGTGAAAGCATAAGCATATGCCTGAGTCAGTCTGTATTGTGT